CCCGCTCGACCTCGGTTTTTTCTTTCTCGAGTCGAGTACCCTCTGGCGCGCCCCTGCGCGGGGTTGGTGCTCTGCACCGGCTTCTCAGCATCAACGCTCCGGTGGTCTTCGCTTCCCTCTTTCCTCCCCCCCCCCCCCCCATGCCTCTACCTTTTTCCCCTTCCTGAACCCTTCCGGTGCCGAAATTCAACAGAAAGTCGAACTTTTGAATTGTGGCTGATATTGTCACAGATTATCGTCCTGTATCTGCCACATGGCTGTGTCCGACCTGTGGATGGAGTGTTTGCGATCGCAAACTCCCGCGCCAGCCGTATCACGAACGTCGAACAAGATCCAGCTAACAGTGCTGGAGAATAACGCCGGCTCTGTATGCATGTTGTTCAATTATTACGAGCCATTCAGAGAGTGTCGCAGCTCTCATGGGCTTCCTAGCCTCCTGCATGCTCATTTCTCTATTCTTCTGCCTTTTGATCTTGAGCAATTGCACAATGATATCAAAACACTCGGCTTGAGTCATGAAAAGCGGCAACAACCTCACCGCATATGTAGGCGAAAACGCCCTAGCAACGAAGAATACATTTGCGAATACAGATAGGTGTATGACAGAAATAAACGATATGAAGGGACCAAAAGTATTGGAGTATTCATAGAATTTGTTGACCTTTTGGGCAAGGCCGTCGTGTAGGAAGCGGCGCTGTAGTGTACGGCCGTTGTTAGTGCACGTGGAAGTGGGTTACGGCCGTCGATAGGACGCGACGCAAGTTCGCGCGGCGGTCATTGCGATTGCCTTTCGGTGGAGCGCGTTATCTTCACAGCTTTCAAGTTGCGTAATGAAATTCAGAGTTTTATCGATAGAAGTAGGGATTAACAGTAGACTTTGCAAAGGCTAATTATAGATGAAACATGTCGAAATATTGTTTTAAGTTTGATGTTAAGTTTAATCTTGTTTGAAATTTACCAGTGACCCTTCTGTTTTGTAATGATTCTTATAGATTCCAATAAGATTGCACAGGCTAAAAATATACTGCGTTATATCCTATTAACCCACTTCGTATTCTTGGCTCGTGTTTTAAGAACTATATGATTATGTTGGCAGCCCACTGTCTTACCGCACAGTTTATCTCTTGTTGATGTCACATTCTGAGCAAATCATCAGCTGAACAACTGTTGAACCAAGCCCAAGAATTAAACGATAAGCTCTGTCAATGGCTTAGATCTGCTCCAATAAATGTACTATCGCTGCTCTAATATTGACCAGACCTTTCAGCTATACTTCAATCATCTCATCGTTCTTCTATCTCACTTCCTCTTGCTTCCTTTTACTGATTTCCTGTGGTTATGTAGATTCTGACGCAAAAGAAATTGTATCGATTTATTTACGATTTTATACGTGTCAGAGCGCATGTGGCGCAGTGGCTAGAGGTGCTCTGCGTCGCGCACGAGGTCAATGGTTCGATCTCGCGCTCATGACTCACCATGTCATCCATCCTCTCCGGGGTGGTAAATTGTTACCTAGACAGGTCTCAGACTTGTCTGGGTAGGATACAGGGATGTTAGAGGCCACCGCGAGTCATCGTAAAGGCCCAGATATGCATTCAATCACCTCAAACGAAATTAAAAATTGAAGTTGAATGCATGGCGCATCCCTCAGGGATTGATCAACGCCGAGAGCTTTATCCTTTATCCTTTATCCTTTATATGCGTATCGGCTGCCATTTGTACACTTCAAAGTGCTGGAAGATCACAATGAGCCGTTCCTGTAATTCATTGATGATGTTGATGTCTTCACTTTTCGAAAGCCAACAGGTCGTTTAAGAAAAAAAAAAGGAAATTCACAAAAGTTTCAAAAGTAACTTTTGTTAATCCTTGTTTTTCTCTTAATGAACTACAGCGACATGGCTGGACAATATTGCCGACCTACTGAAGTGGCGGCTTATTTCATTAAGAAATGCTTGTCAAAAATGATAGCGCACTTGGGGCTAGATGAGAACTAAAATTTTCCCGACAACATTTCGATGTCTTTCTCCTTTTCAGAGTGTAACAATTGAAGCTGATGTCCACAGTGGTTCGTTCTCGTTGATGGTGTTCGTTTTCGTTTTTGAGTCGCATCTTTACCGGTTGAGTACCGTTCAAGTAGAAACCTTACTCGGTGATACTTTATATGCAAGACGAATGCTGATGATATTTAATGTGCGTTAATAATATTCTGCTTTCAAAAAACGACTGTCTGGTAAAAAAAAAACGAAATATTGTCGGAGTACAGACAGTATCATGAACCAGCCGTCTTAATATAAAATAGCATCACCGATTCATGTATATCATTCGAAAAATGGAGTTGGAAATAACTCGCCCCGCCGGAAAAAAGTCAAGCTGTTGGAGATGAGTTAGCACAGTTGTATGAGAAACACCAATTTCGGTAGCCAGTTCGCAAGTATTTGACGAAAGTTTGTCTTCCAAAGCAGCATTAAAATCTTCGTTGTTCAATCTTGGTTGGGCGCTCTGAACGAGGTTTGTCTTGAAGGTCAAGATCTCCAGCGCACTGAGAAGCGTTGAAACCAGCGTCCAGTGAAAGATTTGCTTGCTGCGCCTTCCCCTTCAACTTCGTTGATTTCATCGATTGCAGTTCGCTGTGAAAGATTCTTTCTACAATAATTACGCAACTCAAGCACGATCTGCGATTGCATCGTTTGGACATGGCCGAGACTTGTAACAAAGTGGGGAAAAGAAGAATAATTTAGGCCTTCCACCCTAGACCTTAAGGAGAAAATCCCGCGCGGGCAACTGTAATATTTCCGTCTGAATTACTTTTATTTTTGACTGCCACTTGCTGTGGTATGATGTTATAGTATACGCAATATGTGGAGTGCACTACCGAGCGTCGGTAGTGCAACGGTTAGCATACGCTCCCATAAAGAGTGAGATCCGGGTCGAATCCCGGCTGACGCAAACGTTTTTGCACTATTTCACGCTTATTAAAGTGCCCAGAACTTCCTTTCCAACATAGTATTTCGGTTGCGAAATATAACTCACAAAGATCGTCATGTAACAAGTAGAGATGCCCTGGGTGTCCAGATCTTCTATGGCCGCTTCTGTTTCCACAGAATCAATGGCTTTCTTGGAATGAATAAAAGTAAGAGAAAGCGGTCTTTTGTGCTATCGTGAAACTTCAATGAGTTTTGTGATGGCGTGGATGTGGTCTATGGTAGTGAATTATTTATGGAACTCTGGTTGTTTGCATGGCTGTCTTTCGTGCAGTGTTCTGTCGAAGCTGTTTAGGATGACTCGAGTGAAGAGTTTACACACGACGGACAGCAAGCATGTTGGCACGATAAAAGCCTATGTCGTGAAGGTCTCCTTTCTTGAACAGCAACACGGTCCTGCAAAATTTCCAATGACTGAGAACTCTGTATTCTGACAGCTAAGGAAAGGAGTCGAGTCAGAGTGTTAATAGGAACTGGCGGTAGGTTTTTCAGGTGTTCTAGTCTTACCTTGTCTGGGCCAGGTGTTGTGCTATTGTTCAACCACGATGTATCGTGTCGGAAATCAGAAGAGAAAATCGGTGGAACAATAAATTCACCCCTTCCAATTCGTATGACGATAAGCGGACATGGCTATCGCTGAGATCTTGAGTAGTAATCGTGGATGGTTTTTTTCACTGCGCTTCTGGAGCTTTTAAATGTCCCGTCAGGGCCTTGAAGTGCAATCATCATTGACTTGTAATTGCGAGACTTCGATGGGATTGCGAATGCTGTTCCCAGCTTCTGAAGCTTCTGTTGTAACTGCTACTCGTGTCTCTTTGCGCTCATCTTTCATCGCTTCTCTGCAGCATTTCGTAGGTTCGGACGTAAGGTTTCGGTTGCCTGTTGCTCGTGCGATTCCACGTTGACGTATCAGCTAAAGTATTTGCGGAGACAGGCGTCTCTTCGTGACTTCGTGGCTCTCGGCTTCTATAGCGCTAGCGTGAAGATGTCAAGTGAGCCGATCATATTCTTTGTTGATGTTGTCAACAACGATATCTTCCAAGAGCCGGCTAATGGCTTAAGTAAACTCATGTTGATGCACTTTCGCGACTTTTACTGCTCGAGTTTAGCGGCTTTGTGCTCTTTCCGTGAAAAATGAAACACTGGGGCGCAGGAAACGATGATCTGATCCCATCGTGTAGAACTTAGGACCAATAACGGCAGCGGTCAGGCAAAGCCTTCGATTTACTGAAATATGGTCTATTTTGTTATGGTACTCTCCAATGGGAGACTCCCACGTCTGCCGCTGGGAGTAAGGATTTTGGAATTGTGAGCTACCATGGATTTGGTGGTCATGATAGCCTCTTACCCTGTGTGATTCATTGTAGCTCGTGGGTTGAAATGTGACGTTCTTCAGACGTTCTCAAAGGTCCAATTTTTACGTTGAAATCTCCAACGGTGACCTTAGAAAATACGTGGTCTTCTCTGTAGAACTCTTGGCAGTCCGTTTGGAACGCTTCGACATTGTTTTCATCATAGCTTGATATTGGTGTGTATGTAACGAAAACCGTTAAAGCCGGCACTATTACAAATCATCTCAACCGCAGTCACCAGATCAGGGTGGTGAGCTATTCAAATGATTATTTTCTATAATATACCTAATTATAAAGAGTGACACGCAAAAACATTTGCGTCATGTGGAATTCGAACCCACATTTCACCCTATCCCTAGGTGCGTGCTAAACCGTTGCACTACCGACGCCCGATTTGAACCACTCTTTCTACGCTATCTATTTTTATGGCAACTTCGATCTGACGAGAACGCCAGCTCAACCGGCATCTCTACGATCGTATGTTCCAAGAAGCACTCCTTCTCTGGTGTCATAAACGGCAGCAGAAATGGAGGGCGTCTTCTCAAGTCAACCAGGGAAATGATATTGTATCTAATCGTTCGTGACAGCATTAATAGATCTTTCACAGCGGATTCGTATGAAGTGTTCGCGCGTTATAGGGTACAGATCGTCATTTTAAACCATTACGATTTTGGCAGCCTCTTTGGCCCTGAGATTTTAGCACCTTCTCCGCACTCGTACCCAACGCTGCCATACCGAGGACTCTTTCGGGGTCACGGAATGAAGCCTATTTTCATTGCTGCTTCGAGCATTTCTAATCCCACCGTACGGCTTGCTAGGCTGTTAACGTGAGAGCCGGGTACTGACGAACAGCATGCCAGTCTCTCTCGGAGAAAACAGGAAGAGCTTATCTGTTGGAGGCAATCCCTAACCGCCTCCCATGCACTTTCCAGTCTCTTCATTGTAGACTTTTGGCCAATTGACTCGTAGAAAAATAGTTCTGTCGAATGAGCTCTGCAGAAACATTGAGGTCATCCATCCACTAAATCCACCTGCGTCTCTAGGAAGCACATGGTCGTTTTACGTTCGCGTTCAGTTTCCCTATCTACTACCTGGGGGCGCGCCATGTGTTCTCGCGATCAACCGGGCGGGATTTTTCAACGAAGGCGATTCGTGATTGAATGTGCATCGAAAATTCTTACAAAGTTGAGGTGGATTCGCTTACCATTTCCCTCTGAAAAATTATTTCGGATACTGAATGTAATGATTTTCTGCAAACACACATTCTTGTAAATTGGAAAGCATTTCAATATGTGTTCAACGCACTGAAGTGCGTAGCACTTTTCCAATTTTTAAAAGCAGAATAATGATCATCAGCTCAGATATTGAATGAAAGTCGACTCAAGGATTCGTTCATTACCATGCTAATCTTCGTAGTCGTGACGCATAAGCGAACTGGGAAGAGTAGATCACCAGAGATAGACTAAGGAAGTGAATTTTTCAGTTCTGCCTCTCTATACAGAGCTCTAGCCGTGCTGAAATGACTTGGCAGCATGCTAGGTATTCTGAGATAGAACGCGGTCGTTGAGCGATCTTCGATCGATACTATTTGCCCATCTGGTCGCAATTTGAGTAAGTCGTAAGCGAAAGTTTTCTTTCCTATATATCAGTCAATACTATTCCTGCAGGATGGATTGGATGCGAAAAACGAACAATATCAATCGACAATTGCCCGAGGACCTCCTCTATCGTGGAAATTCACCCTTCTCGGGTCACTTCTGCGTGGCTGGAGTCCTGTATAAAAGCCAGGCTAAGAAAGCTATTTCATTTGTCCGATGATCCAGTGTATTTGATTCGCCTCAGTGTGACCGTTACAGAGATTAGCTTAGCAAGAACAACTGCTGCAGACACTTAACTCGAACCATCGCTTTGTGAAAGTGGTGTCCACAACGTTAACCATGATAGTGGAAATTCATAAAATCCGTCTTTTGATCATATTCAGTTAACTTGCTGCTATAATTCATAGTACATATTGCTGTAAATATGACCAATAAATAAAAAATCAGAATGATCATATGACAAATTTGTTAAACGGAAGTTTTGGTATGCCCTACGACAGTTGATGTGGTATTCAAAGTCTATGTATTTATAGAGTTAAACCAGATAGATGTTGTGTTCGAAATTCTTCAATTTTCACTCATGGCATCAAGGAAACAGCATAATGCAACACATTTCAATTCCTTCGCCTTGCGATGTCCTACTAATGTGCTGCCAGGATGGTGGCCACCATCAATGACTTTGCACCTTCGCCAGCCTCTAGTTCACGAGACAAGCTGATCAGCTAGGAACTTGGACGAAACTGAATTGAAAAAAAGTGAATGAATGAAATGGCTTTTGAAAAAGGCAGAGTTTCCGAAAGGTTAGCCAAAATCATGCAAAAATCGTAAAAACCTTGTGTTAAATCATCAATATAAGCAGGAAATTTCGAAAGATAACTGAATCATGCTCGGTTGATTCAGTGTGGATGATGCAGTACCAGAGGACAAAAATGAAAAAAACTATTTCAAACATGCGGTTCATTTGACCCTACTCAATTTGGTCGATGCAACGTCTGAGGAGGCCAGTACGGTAAGAACAAAGAGGACTACTATATACACTCGGTCCATTCGATTCCCCCAACAAGTTAGCCATGGTTTAAAATTCTCACGCAGCCTTCGCGATTTGCCCATATTCGACAACCTTGCTGCTATAATCCATAATTTATACTGCTGTGAAGAAAATGAACAGTGATAGCTGTGACACACCCCTATCACAGCTGATGTGGTAATCAAAATCCATGTATCCGTAGAGTGGAACCATATACACTCTGCGGAAAAATAAACCTTTTATCCAGAAAATTCATCAACCAAATAGATCAGCAGATCATTTCTTCCTTCGCCTGATCTTGCATCACCGCCAGGCCGCATTTCATTAAGCGGGCAGATCCGCGCAGTACCTGAATAGAAGTGGACTAATAAAACGGAATGAATGTGGAATGACTTTCATCACCTGGAAGCAATCAATAGGTTGTTTGTAAGCGGTAGAACTTACAGAGTTATCATTTACTGGCAGATTGTTGCGTCGAGCAGTACCCAAAGCAGCACGACCTGACAAAGCCTGGATAATGTTCCATCTATGAAACTTAGAGTTTAGTTGAAGTGGAGGCCTTGCTGCTAGTAACCAGGCCTAGTATCCTAATATTTTTCTAATGTTCTAGTGTCGCATCTCTTGGCAAAGGTTACCAGAACATTCTCCAACATACGACGACCTTTTGGTATTACCTCGATTTGAAATAGAAAAGCGAATGATACAATAGTGCAGAAGAAATCATGTGACAGTCAAAAAGTAAATAATAATCAGCAACGACGTACCGAACTGCGATGTTAAGATTGTCATTCTCTTGTTCGAACCACAAAATTGGGAAAGGGCTCAAAATGTTTTAAGAGAGATGGTTTCACAGAGTCAAAATCGAATAACCCAGTACACCAAAATTCCTGCTGACGAGCGTGTGTGTACCAAGGCCATAGCAGAGAGAATGCGGTCGCGAATGTATTAGCAACAGTCGTAGCATATGCGGAATATTGACGCAGTATATCTCTTCCAGCCGCGAAGGCGTTTACAAAACCAATAGTGACCGATCTCTTCAGAAAATGAGAGCAGTGCTTTTCACGTACGGAGGTTTCCTCTCGTAACGTAATACAGCTCCACTGTAATATATGTAACACCATCACACATATATCGAGTGCTACTGAGCTACGGCGAAGTGAACGCATGTAGCTAAGTGGTAGTGGTACCTTGCAAGACACACGTGGTAGCTGATTCCATTCATGCGAAGACTTACCAAGCTTGTCATCTTCCGAAATCGGCTAATCGGTGTCTGACGTGTCCTGAAGGCTAACATCGCTGACCTAATATAACAGTCGGCCATCAAAAAACTCTGTTATTAATGATGAGGAAGCAGAAATGTCGTCTCTGCAGTAGGCATCGAGGATCCAGCTAACCATTTCTCTGTTGTGTGTAACCGTATGGTTGCTATGCTTTTTAAGGCAAAGTACGAGGTGAAATGCAAGCACGAGAACCTGAGTTACTAACAAATTAGGAAGTGTAACGGATTCAAACCACGACTACACTTCTCGAGGCAGCGTGCATTCGCAACAGTTGCCGATGGTGAATTAAATCTATTGCTAACTGTATTTCTAACATGGATGAAATGTTAGAGCAATAATGGTTGAAAATAGAAAACACTATGTGAAAGCGTATGGCTGAAAGCCTAGCTGTTTAATGCTAAGCTCTAATGAGACTGAGCATACATTTCTACTCATTTATACGCGTAATATGTCTATTTCTGGAAAACTCTACCCACTTATTTACCTATACTGTCAAAAAAGAGCATGTCAGAACGGGACGTATCTTAGTGCCTACTACAGAAGGAGTGAATGCACAGCAGGGGTTCAGGCTTTGCAGAGGCTGGCCCTCTCCCTCAGTGAAAGTGAAATTCGCGTTCAACTATGGCTAAAATTCCGACTAATTCATATTACAGCGTTCTTAGATACGTATCTTCGAAACAGTCGCTAGAGACAACACGGGTGTAAGAAGTGCACTCACTATCGCAGATAGTGTTCCTCCTTCCTCGAGTAATCTGAGATAAAGACGTTCTTCTTGGTGCAAAATTGCTTCATTAGGAGGAGTGCTAGGCTGTGAGGACTGCAAAACAATCTATATCTCTCCTTTGTATTCATCATCATGACGTTTTTAGAGGATGGTAGCGCATCGTTGCTGAAAGTTGATTAGAATACAAACTCACATCCATTCCTATGTAGTCCGTTGTAACGCGCAATTCGATGCAATTGGAAAGAGAGAAATGAATCTTACCATCAGCAAAAAGGATTAGCAAGTGTGATAGCGATGCATAAATGATAGCTGATAATAGTGATTCGTGATGTAAACAACATTCAAAAAGAAAGGCCAACTGTGTGAGGCTGAAGTGTTCCTGATGGTATGATGATTTTATATGAAACTGTGCGTGGAACTGAACAAAAAAGATAAATAATAATGTGTTTCACATTGATCAATCCTTTTAAGGTGAGCCACAAATTGGACTCCACTAGTAGCATTGCAGCAGAGATTGAATGATCCTTTCAGACAGGTCCATGATCTACTCCACGATTCTATCGACTTAAGGTTTATTAGCCGAGAAAGTGAAACCGAAGCAGTGGTCATTCATGTATGGTATATTACATCGGACAGCAATGCCCCTACACGTTAATGCTTTGGGGCATAAACAGCGATTATGACCTGCAAACCCGAAACTACTTCTAAGAATTTTTAGAGGAGAATTCGGTTTTATCTCATCTCAATCACGAAAAATTGC